CTGTATTTGAAGTATAGGACAGTGTGCAGCATGAATAGTGTAACAGGGGTGGAGGGGTCTCTCTTAGACTTGGCCTGGTTTTCCATGCAGCAGCTGGTTTGTATTGAAGACAACGCTGAACACTTTCACTGACCCAGCAGTACATTACATCCAGATGCCTTTAATAAGAGCACTGTTCCCCACACTGTGCCGTTATCTATGGCGTTTACACGGCTGAACATCACCATTAATTATTCACAATGCCATGCCAATCCCTCCACCCTCCCAACACAGCCCAGTGTCATGTTATCAATTACCAGCTTCATCCAGCACTTTACCGCTGTGCAATGTCTTAGTTGTGAGTTATGTATGGTGTGTGTGTATGTTCGCTATGTATGGTATGTATGTTCGGTATGTATGGTGTGTGCTAGATGTGTATGGTGTGTGTGTGTGTGTGTTAGCTATGAATTGTGTGCGTTAGGTATGTATGGTGTGTCTATGTTAGCTTTGTATGGTGTATGTTAGCTATGTATGGTGTGTGTGTTAGGTATGTATGGTATATATGTATGTTAGCTATGTATGGTATATATGTATGTTAGCTATGTATGGTGTATGTTAGCTATGTATGGTGTATGTGTTAGGTATGTATGGTGTGTGTTAGATTGGTATGGTGTGTCTATGTTAGCTATGTATGGTGTGTGTGTATGTTAGCTATGAATTGTGTGCGTTAGGTATGTATGGTGTGTGTGTATGTTCGCTATGTATGGTATGTATGTTAGGTATGTATGGTATATATGTATGTTAGCTATTTATAATGTGTGTGTTACACTTCACAGTACACACTTTCCAAAGCTGTGTCTAACAGACATGTTTTAGGTAGTGATTGGGCGACCAGAACATGTTTATATTCAGTCAGGTATTTTAAATCATTGGTCTTTTACAGTTTTATTTTTATTTAATATTTATTTTAATAGATGCTTATTTCAAAGGGCAGCAGATGAGGATTGTGAGGGCATCAGGTGACAAGCTTGGATTAGGTGTTATTCATTGTTTCCTTAGAGCTAGGAGTAAACCGAATGGTTATAGGATGGTACCCTAGGATGACCGGATCCACCATGGTTTCAGGGACACATTTACAATTTGATGGGCAGCGTGGATAATTCAGAAGGTGTATAAGATTCAGTAATTAGGCAATGAAGAATCCTAATTACATACATACTGCAGGCAGCACTTTTCATGCATTTTCATAACTATGACAAAATGATCTGTGTCCCTGAAAACATGGTGGATCTGGGCCTATGGAAGCCCCTATGATGCTGATGATGGGAGTCACAGTTCTCCTAGAGCTAGGGACATTGATCATTTGGTTATTCATTATGAAATGCAATCGAAGACACCTCCCAGTGTATTTATTTGACGGTTCACATATAGAGCTCTGAGCCATGTAGGGGCAGAGGGGGAAGGCGTTTAGCTAAGTAACTAGTGGTAGTCTGGGCCACCTGGTCACTACTTGAGGGGTGGGGGAACATTGAGGGAAGATATACTTAGGGACTTCCCTGGTCACTACTTGTGGGGTGGGGGAACATTGAGGGAAGATATACTTGGGGACTGCCCTGGTCACTGCTTGTGGGGTGGGGGAACACTGAGGGAAGATATACTTGGGGACTGCACTGGTCACTACTTGTGGGGTGGTGGAACATTGAGGGAAGATATACTTAGGGACTGCCCTGGTCACTACTTGTGGGGTGGGGGAACATTGAGGGAAGATATACTTAGGGACTGCCCTGGTCACTACTTGTGGGGTGGGGGAACATTGAGGGAAGATATACTTAGGGACTGCCCTGGTCACTACTTGCGGGGTGGGGGAACATTGAGGGAAGATATACTTAGGGACTGCCCTGGTCACTACTTGCGGGGTGGGGGAACATTGAGGGAAGATATACTTAGAGACTTCCCTGGTCACTGCTTGTGGGGTGGGGGAACATTGAGGGAAGATATACTTAGGGACTGCCCTGGGCACTGCTTGTGGGGTGGGGGAACATTGAGGGAAGATATAATTAGGGACTGCCCTGGTCACTGCTTGTGGGGTGGGGGAACATTGAGGGAAGATATACTTAGGGACTGCCCTGGTCACTACTTGTGGGGTGGGGGAACATTGAGGGAAGATATACTTAGGGACTTCCCTGGTCACTACTTGTGGGGTGTGGGAACATTGAGGGAAGATATACTTAGGGACTGCCCTGGTCACTACTTGTGGGGTGGGGGAACATTGAGGGAAGATATACTTAGGGACTTCCCTGGTCACTGCTTGTGGGGTGGGGGAACATTGAGGGAAGATATAATTAGGGACTGCCCTGGTCACTGCTTGTGGGGTTGGGGAACATTGAGGGAAGATATACTTAGGGACTGCCCTGGTCACTACTTGTGAGGTGGGGGAACATTGAGGGGAGATATACTTAGGGACTGCCCTGGTCACTACTTGTGGGGTGGGGGAACATTGAGGGAAGATATAATTAGGGACTGCCTGGTCACTGCTTGTGGGGTGGGGGAACATTGAGGGAAGATATACTTAGGGACTGCCCTGGGCACTACTTGTGAGGTGGGGGATTTCAGAGTAAACCTGATTGTATCTGCAAACAAGTGAAAGTAGATACATAACATGTTTTACCCCTTTTTCAGAATTATTTAAAAACTGCTTCTTTGCCTGGAACACTCTTTCCTTACTTACCTTCATAGCGTTTTGATTGAGTTTGACAAAACCTAGGATTTCAGCCAGTTTTACGTGAAGTGATAGAACCCAGTATGAGCAAGCCGATTGAGCTGAAATACTGGGATTTTGGGAAAAGGTCCAGTTTCAGAACTCACTGTGTCATGCAGAGTTTGTGTAAATGTGCAGATTTGTGCTGGGGCGAAAACTGAATCACACACCACAACCAGGCTCTTCGTGAGGGAGGTGAATGACTCAGCATTGAAATATTAAAAAAAATAAAAATAATAATAATAAACATAATGTAATAAAAAATATTACAGTGTATCCCTGCCGCCTTCCCGAACTTGCTGAATTACCAGCTATTACGGCAAATGCCAACCTCTTCGTTTCAATGGTCGATGGTTTGTCGGCAATTTCTGTGTTTGTGTCGTTTGTAGATGTAATAAAAAGCTGATCCCCCAGATGTACTCCAGCTGCCAAACTTAACCAGGCTTTCCTGGTGAAATCATTTTCTCCGAGCTATATATATATATATATACTATAATACATTTTATTACAGACTTTTTTATCATGTTAATAATTCATTTTATACGCATGTCAGGTTTATGTAAGATTTTAATTTTTCATTTAGTTAACTCCTCCAAGTTATTTTATTGAACATGTTTTTTAAAAACATGTTTTAAAACAATTGTAAAACAAACATATTCTAATTCCCACACCCATACCGAGTCCTATTACACTCAGCTTTGAACTCGGCTGTGAGCTGAGCAATAACGAGCAGAGACTTATTATAACATTAGCTCTGATTTATAAGAAAAAAAACATTGAGCTTACTTTGTGAGTTTTTTTACATTAGTCTAATCTCATGCCATCACAGCAGGCCTCTTAATAAAGTGTCAGCAATGGGGTACACTTGGTAATATGTTATCAGACAGGATCCTGCAATACCTTCTCTGTCTCCCCTACTGAGGGTGAATGAATGGGAAGATGAGTGTGTTGTGCTGCGGGCAGGTCAATAGGTGGCGCTGTTTTGTTAACTGTTCTGAATGCTGGGAGCCTGTTAACTCACTCTGTGCATTGATCAGTGGATGGACATCAAATGCAGGAATTCAAGTCCTTCAGGTCAATTCAAATCAAAATGTGGCTACTATTGGGCAGATTGACATCTGTATCAAAGTAACTACCAAAGTAATTCTTAAAGGCCGGCGTTCACACCGTCAGCTGATGTTATAGATTCTTTGTGTAGTTATGTTTAATCAGATATACAAGTCAGAACTTTTAGGACTTTCCTTAACCACCATGCAAATTACGATGAATAACAAAATCACCCAAGGTAATGGTATTGTAGCGTGATATCCTCATCTCATTGTAATTCTGTCATTATTGCTCCATTATAAGGACAACATACCACCTGAAGCATTTCACTATTTAATATGTTATAATTCTGTAGTAAAGTGATCTCTGAATTTAGTAATGACAAGCATTACGTACTAATAAAATTAGTTTGAAAATAAAGTTCAGTTATTTTACTGGGTAAATATGGAGTTATATGAAATGTCCCAGGACTTCGGTAATACATCTTCCAAAATGTCTCTGACGTTTTCTAGTCTCACTACCTGACTACTCACTACCTGACATCTTCCAAAACATCTCTGAAGGTTTCTGGTCTCACTACCTGACTGCTCACTACCTGACATCTTCCAAAACATCTCTCAAGGTTTCCAGTCTCACTACCTGACTACTCACTACCTGACATCTTCCAAACATCTCTGAAGGTTTCCAGTCTCACTACCTGACTACTCACTACCTGACATCTTCCAAAACATCTCTAAAGGTTTCCAGTCTCACTACCTGACTACTCACTATCTGACATCTTCCAAAACATCTCTG